GGGGGGGGCTGGAGATGTCTCATCCATAGGGTTGCCATGGGTTGAGACAACAACAAATACTGTTTTTAGTTAGATTATTTTAACTGTTTTTAAATTTTTATTGTAAAGTTTTAAAAATGTTTTTACCTTTGAGCCGCCTTGGGTCCCTTTCTGGGAGAAAGGTGGCATACAAATGAAATGAAACAAACAAACAAATAAGTAAAAAGTAGGGTCAACTGGCAGACAAGGATGAGTCTCTAATGCCTCATTCCCAACTATAGAATAAACCAATTTTGAGTTGAATTGCTGAAGTGATTTAGTGCCAAATACATGTTCACACTGTTTGAGCAGTGATTGAATTTTACCCATTTCAATTTAATCCACTTCATGCTCACCTTCATCAATGAATCGATTCAACATGGAGTTGTGTCACAGGGCTGACTGTGACACAGCAAACTGATTCAGATCCGCAGCTCGTTCACACTAGCACTGAATCAATTCATTGCAAAAGACGTGGGGAATTCAGCAGATCCAGAAGAAGCACTTTAAATGGGTTTAGCGCTGGGGGGGGCCTTCACAAACCATGTCAGGGAATCAGTGCAAGTGCAAACAAGGGCCATTTAAATCAGTTCAGATCCGCTTGCGAATTGGTTTATTATGCAGTGGGAATGAGGCATCATGATCCAGGAAGACCTTAATACAAGAAATGGGCTTTGGGGAGAGATGTCCTTGCTTAGCCATGGAAACCCACTGCATGACCCTGGGCAAGTTACACTCTCTCAGCCTCAGAGGAAGGCAAGGGCAACCCCCTCCTCTGAACAAATCTTGGCAAGAAAACCCCATGATATGGTCTCCTCAGGGTCACCAGAAGTCAGAAACAACTTGAAGGTACACAACAGCAACAACAAATACAGGGCTTGCATTGTGGTGGAGAAGAGGGTGAAATTGTTCTAGAGGTCATAGGATTAGGACCTGGGAGTAGGAATAGAGAACATAAAGAAGCTGTAGAACAGGAATGGGGAATGTTGGACTGTCAGGAGTAATGATGCATATACCTCTTGGTGAGTTAAGATCTTAAGATGCATGGGCAGGAATCAAGCAAGCCTCCAAATGGTGTTTTCCTGAAACTGCCATCAGCCCTAGCCAATACAGCCAGTGGGGTGGGAAGTTGGGAATTGCAGTCCAAACACATCTGAAGGGCCACATGTTCCGCTGCTATGTAGATTCTCCAAAAAATGGGATCAGGGATGGACCATGTCTCAGAGCACATGCTTTTCATGCAGAAAATCCCAAGTTAAATTCCTCCAATTAAAAGATCAATATAGTGTGGTGCAGTGGTTTGCATGTTAGACTGCAGTTCTGGGGACCAGAGTTCGATTCCCTGCTCAATCATGAAACCCACTGGGTGACCTTGGGCAAGTCACACTCTCTCAGCTTCAGAGGAATCGCAAAACTCCTCTGAACAAATCCTGCCAAGAAAACCCCCACAATAGGGTTTTCTCCTTAGGGTTGCCATTAGTTGGACATGAAGGCACACAGCAATAAAGCAGGCAATGGGAAAGACCTCTGCTGGAGATCCTGGAGATTGTCTGAATAGACAATACCAGAATAGTCAGGTAACTAGTGTGACCAGCTATAAGGCTGATTCCTACGCTGTCCATATTCACAGCTACCTTGATTCCCTTTTTGCATCAGAAGAAATTCAGACTGGCAACAGCTCCTGTGAACTCAAGTAAACATGCTGCAACTGGATAGGATCTGCAAAGCTTTTGGCTCAAGTGAAACATCAGTATGTGAACAACCAAGATGTGGCTGTTCTGCAACTCCAGGATGACCCTTAGGATTTATTTTCACACTGCTTTCATTTCAGTTGACGCACTGTATCAGCTTATTTCAAAAGCATTTAAAGCTGTGCTATTCCCTGTTAGTCGGCTTGGGGAATGGCAGGGGAAAGTTTTATAACCTATTGCATAAATGTGTTTCTTCACAAAGGAGCTGCAGACTGCATGAGATCCGTTTGTTGGGAAGCTGGAAGGAAACCAAATGGCAGAAGCAGTCTCTGTTTTCAAAAAGTTGTGGTGTTTGTACTTCCTTCCCACCCACAACTTCCACAACTCCACTACTCTGCCCCTGAGCTTCCCATCCCAGAATTGTAAGTAAATAAATAAAAATCTGCAAATATAAATGGAAGCACCACAAAAGAAAATGGTCCATTCACCTTCAGTTTCTGCAGGAGTGTTTCTGTTCCCCAAGTTGTTAGTATAAAGTCTTCTAATATATTCCTGCCTGTGAGCTTAGATCTCCCAACTGGACTGTTTTCAGCTATTTTGCTGACCCTTATACTGAGAAACCCTGGTACACATTTGCACTGTGGTGCTGCTTGACTTCCCTCCAGGCTTAGCTTTTCAATAATAATAATAATAATAATAATAATAATAATATACACACCTTAAAGAATAATAAATTTTATTTGGCAGCAGTGTTTGTGGACTTCGACCCACTTGAATTAGATACCTGAAGGAGTCATTTACACTACAAAATAAAACAATACCCTTACAAACCAACCCCCCCCCCGAAAAAAACCCTTTGTTAATCTTTAAGAAACCACAGGGCTCTGTTTGCTTTAGCAATGATAGATTATCATTAATGGCCCCTACCACCATTTTGTTGTTGTTGTTGTTGTTGTTGATGATGATGATAATTTTATTTACTTATATCCTGCCTTTCTCCCAATATAGGGACTCAAGGTGGGATAAAAGTAAATAAAATAATAAACTCAATGTTGATGTTGCTCAGAATTCATTATCAGCTAACACTGCTCATTAAAATAAGTGAGAAATACAGTTGGGCATCCTAGACATTGGCATAATACATTTATATCTCACCTTTTCTATTAAGTTGTCCAAGGCAGACATGATCAGGACACTGTACTTCTGTTAATGCATCTAAGGTTGTATTAGAATTGCACTGCACTGTTTGTGGGGCCTTACTAAAGATTGGAAAATCCACATAGTCTTATAAACTGTACAAATGAACCAAACTACTTGTATTAAAACCCTACCAGACCTATCTGGCTATGTTGCCCAGATAAGAAATCATACTTGACATTCTTTGAGCTGTAATCCTCTTTGCAGTTCTTACAACCCTTTCCTTAGAAGTATAGTATCGGCTCCTGTGTGGTCCATAAGCCGCAGATCTAGGGCCCATCATCACTACACAATTACAGCACTATATTCCACTTAAAATGCCATGGCAACATCCCATGGAGTCCTGGGATTGGCAGTTTAGAGAGAGCCATATAGTATTCTCAACCATAGAACTCCAGTGCCTCACAACCCCAGATTTAATAGGATGTTGCCATGGCAGTTGAATATAGCACGATATTTGTGAGGCATGAATTGGCTCCCTAGAGTTTTTGGTTCATTTCTCTGTCCAGCCATAAAATCATTGGGAGACTTATTGCATGAATCCAGTATGGCACAACAGCCCATGATAATAACACCTCCAGTTGGTGCCTCTTGCATGACGTTGTTGCTCTGTCTTCCATAGTTGTAGCAAGGTGTTTTTTTTAACAAACTGAAAAAAAGAAACTTCCTTCCCCACTTCTATTGTGCTATGAGGTGTTGTGCAAAGTTTAATTGTGCATTATGCTGATTTTTGTTGTGGTCCAGTGGGTCTGCTTTGGGTGGAAAACATAACAGTGAAGAGTCTTGGGGTGCAGTGGTTAAATACCTGTACTACAGCCACTCACCCACAAACCACAAGGTTGTGAGTTCAATCCCAGCCAGGGGCTCAGGGTTGACTCAGCCTGGCATCCTTCCGTAGGTCGCTAAAATGAGTACCCAGCTTGTTGGGGGCAATTGACTTACACATTGTAAACTGCTTAGGGCAGGGGTCGGCAACCTTTCCCCTTAAGGGCCGAGGGACTTCAGTTCCCAGAATCCCAGGAGCTATTGGCCAACATGGGACTATTGGCCAGCATGGCTGAGGCTTCTGGGAGCTGAAGTCCCTCGGCCCTTAAAGGGGAAAGGTTGCCTACCCCTGACTTAGGGAGTGCTGGTTCACTGATAAGTGGTATAGAAATGTACTTGCTATTGCTATATTGCTACGTGCAATAAGGCCCCGAGTGGCTAGAAGCAAATTTGTCTCTCAGTTTGGTTCACCTGATAGTGGGGAGAAACATCAGGGCAGCATTGGAAGCATTTTGTTCCTCAGATGCTCTGGACCTCTACTCCTAGGATTCCAAGCTAGTAGGGCCCATAGAAATGGATTGTGGGAGTTGTAGTCCAAACCTAAGAGAAAGTCAAAGTTTCCTAATCCTTGGGAAAGGGGATGCTCATCACTACCAATCATTGCCATCTCTTGCTGACCACCATTGAAAGCAGAATGGGAGGCAAAATGGATCCCGATTTGATCTGGTTTGGCAAATCCTATACTATATTCTAATCTGTAAAATGGGAATTATAATGTGACTTCTTTTAAAGAGAAAATGTGAAACAAAATGACAGTATTTGGAAACCTTTGGCCCTCCTAATGTTGCTGAACTACAGCATTTACCAATGCCAGAAGGCAAAGTCCAATAAAATCTGGAAGGTCACAGGTTCTTCACTTTAGTTATGTAAGATAAAAGTTGCAGAGCATTTCACATCAAAAGTATTGCACAAATAGTGTCTGCCTTTGTCCAGCATGCTACAAAATACAGCTATATCTGTATATTTCTCCCCCAGCTTTCATCAGACTACCTTTGGTCTCACAGACAAGCCTAGTATATTGTGCTGTTTTGTTGCTGCTGAGCCTTAGAAGTTGCAGAGCAGTTAACAAATGCCATGCTAGTCTGTGATGACAAGTGCATCTAAACATAGGCAATGATGGAATGGGGTGTCCTTTATTGAAATCTGAAGGATTTGCCCTACACACATTTGAGTTAATGTGGAAAGAATACATGCATCCCAGACACGTGCTTAATTCAACAATAGCATGAAGGGCAAATTGTCACCTGAAGCGTTTCTAACAGATAATTAAACTGATCTCCTATTGAATTCCTTTAACTCCATTATAATTACATCAGCCTGGTCTGGAGTACAATGCAGAACATGGCTAAAGCAAATGGTATATTGCAAAGACATAAGATCTTCAACAATGACATGGAAAACACAGTTCTAATACAATATTTTGGTTGATTTTAATGTCCTGCTTTTGCCTGATTAACCGATGAACTGACCCACTAATGCTAACTTCAGATATGGGCTATGGAAAGTTACTATCCCATAGCGTGATATGAAGCGGTATATAAATAAGCTGCTTTGCTTTTGCTTACTATAACATTAAGTTTCCTAAAAGTAAACAGCACAAGGACATGATAGAACAAGATAGATAGCACAAGATAGATTTACATCTGTAAGGATTATGCCCTTGCAAAATGCTTGGAGCTCAAACCACTCTCCCTAATAAAGGCAAAGGAAACTTTGCTCCTGATCCTTGCTGTCCCACAGCACAACCCTGATAATGGCTAGAAAGTATACCATAGTTTTATCAGACCAACCATGTGTAAGCCAAAATAAGTCCTCTTAGCCATACATAAGTGCTGCCTTAGGCCTGCCTTCCAAGCAATTTGTTGCAGAGAATAGAGAGGTGACTAGTGGCTTCTGCTCCAGATTTCAGCCAGAATTTTAAAGGACCTATCCTATGTGTTCACTCCTTGCCCCACAACAGGTTCAGCACCTCAAATAATTCCTTTAAATATTGGACTAAACCAGGGGTAGGCAGCCTTTCCCCTTTAAGGGCTGAGGGACTTCAGCTCCAAGAAGCCTCAGCCATGTTGGCCAATAGTCCCATGTTGGCCAATAGCTCCTGGGATTCTGGGAGTTGAAGTCCCTCGGCCCTTAAAGGGGAAAGGTTGCCTACCCCTGGACTAAACCATGGAGCAGATTCACCCCAATTATGTTGTAGCATCTAGCCACCATCAGCAGAATCATTGTCTGATCTGCTCTGGAGCTGCTGGCTATCCTGGCTGCTGAGTAGCCCCAGTAAATCCATTCTGCTGTACTAGTATAGGAGGAATACAGGCATGTACTATAGGAAGAAAACAACTGTAGCAACTAATGTCTTACACAAGCACTGTGGGCCAGCCTGGTTTTGCCTCAGGTAGCAATGGGGGCTGATGCTGCTGATCTGGCAACACCTGATGTTGCCACATGAAGTCAAAGATATTGCACCATAGTTCAGGCTGCCTTGGATTTCAGCATGTCATGCTGAGCACTAGAAGAACCCTTTTATTTATCATTTCATTTCTTATAGGTGTGTCATTTTGGGAAACTAAAATCGACATTTAATTTCAACTCAGTTAGACCCACTGACTCAATGGAATTTCTGGATAGACAGATTTACATCTG